GCTTCTCCCGAGGAAGAAGAAGAGAGTGAAGATGAATCTGAGATCTTGGAAGAGTCACCATGTGGGCGCTGGCAAAAGAGGCGAGAAGAGGTAAGGTGATGGAAGCATCACTCTTGGGAGAATAAATTATTTAAAAGGTGAGAAGAAGCAGCGCTGTGGCTCAAGTGGTAGAGTGCTAGCCTTGAGCTGAAGAGCTGAGGGACAGCGCCCAGACCCAGACTTCAGGCCCCACGGCCGGACCCCTCCCCCCCAAAAAAACCCAAAAACAAAATAAAAGGTGAACTAGAAGGACTATCCAAAGAGGCAGACCAGATTTCAATAGGTTGGGCACTGGGAGAAGTTGGTCTCACAGAGTATTAAAATAAGGAGGTCAACTTTAATAAAATAGAGAGGTAACTTTAATTCCATTTGAACTTTTTCTCAGGTGAATCAGCGGAATGTACCAGGTATTGACAGTGCATACCTGGCCATGGATACAGAGGAAGGTGTGGAAGTTGTGTGGAATGAGGTACAGTTCTCTGAGCGCAAGAACTACAAACTGCAGGAGGTAGGTAATGGTGAAATGCTGTAGCCTGGGGGCTTTAGAACACTGGTGTTTAAAGAGGAGTCCATGTGGGGACACTGACTGGGGGAGAGCGTGTTGGGGGTTAGATCACCTCTGGATTCTCAGGATCATTAGGGTGATTTGTGAACTCTTACCCATTTGTCTCCCTTGTTCTAGGAAAAAGTCCGTGCAGTGTTTGATAATCTGATTCAATTAGAACATCTCAATATTGTTAAATTTCACAAGTACTGGGCTGACATTAAAGAGAACAAAGCCAGGGTAAGAATTTTTCTCTACTATATCCTGAACTTTCTGTAAGCAACTAGGTACATTATTGCTCCTTTTACTTTCAGAGAATTGGGTAGTTTTTTTCTTTTTTCTTTTGTGCTGGTCCTGGGATTTGAACTCAGGGCTTGGGTATTGTCCCTGGTATTTTGGGCTCAAAGCTAGCACTTTGCACTTGAGCCACAGCTCCACTTCTGGCTTTTGATAATTAATTGGAGATAGAGTCTCATTGGCTTCAAACTTTAATCCTCAGTTCACAGCCTTCTGAGTAGCTAGAATTACAAACGTGAACCACCAGCATCCCGCAAAACTTGGTAGTTTTGATCATAATTTTTTCCCCCAGTATTAGGGATTGAACTCAGCACTCTATCACTTGAACCATGCCTCCTAGACCTGAAAATGTAGTTTTGAAATAGAACTTGAATCCACTGCTATAGTAGTAAGAATTCACCTGTCACATGGTTTTTGCCCTGCTATAAATGGTAAGAAATGAGTAAACTTTTGCTTTCTTCTTCCTATGGCTCCTATTTTAGAGTTTTCATTGTTTACTCAGTCTAAGAAAAGGATGCTAAGGGGGTTGGGAAGGTGGCTCAGTGATAGAGCGCTTGTCTTGCATGCCTGAGGCCCTGAGTTCGATTCCTCAGGCCCACATAAGAAAAAAGAAAAAAGCCGGAAGTGGCGCTGTGGCTCAAGTGGTAGAGCGCTAGCCTTGAGCTGAATTGCTGAGGGACAGTGCCCAAGCCCAGAGTTCAGGCCCCGAAAAGGATGCTAAGAACAGGAGAGAAAGTTGAAAAAAAAACCCACACATGTTTAACAGGCATCTAGTATAAGTGGTAAAAGTGTCTGCCCATCTGGCAAACACAAGGCCCTATGTTCAAAGCACAGTACCACCAAAACATTTGTGCGTGTGTGTGTGTGTGTTGGTCGTGGGGGTTGAACTCAGTATCGGCGCTGTCCCTCACCTCTTCAGCTCAAAGCTAGCTCTCTACCACTTGAGCCACAGTGCCACTTCTTGTCAAAACATTTTTTTAAATACCCAAAAAACCAAAAGCAAAAAATCACTAGGCAAGAAATCATTTCTGCTATAAAGCCTTACAGTAAATGCTTCACTTCCCCAGGTAATTTTTATCACAGAATACATGTCATCTGGAAGTCTGAAGCAATTTCTGAAGAAGACAAAAAAGAACCACAAGACTATGAATGAAAAGGTAAGGAGGAGGGAAGACAAAGTTTTGGATTTTGGAGGTGCTTAAGGAGACTGTTAATTGTGAAGCTGGTTAGGGATAGATGGGAGCATCTATCGGAGGGTTAAGGGAAGGGGTTACTACTAATCCTTGAACCAAATTCTATTGTAGGCTTGGAAGCGCTGGTGCACACAAATCCTCTCTGCCCTCAGGTAAGTAGTATCTGATTCGTTTCTTTCCTGTGTATTCCTGATTTAGTTCAAACAGATTGCAGGGGCACTACTCTGCCGATCTATTCTGCCTCCCATTTTCTTTGAGTCATATACTGTCACAATTAGGCCCCCCATAGGTCTTGTAAAGGGCGCCTCTTAATGTCCAAACAAAAACAACACTGTCTCCTACTTCTTTCTCTAAGTGCTTATCCAACTATTGAAATTATCAGGCATAATACAGAGTCACAGTTTGGGGATTATCTTTATGGTGACCAGCAGGAGTCCTGGCCCTTGCTCCTCTTAACCCTTGGGTTCCCCCTGCCCTTAATTTCCCAGTGGCCCCTCTAACAGCCCAGTGCCCCCACAGCTACCTGCACTCCTGTGACCCTCCCATCATCCATGGGAACCTGACCTGTGACACCATCTTCATCCAGCACAACGGACTCATCAAGATTGGCTCTGGTGAGGGGAGGGAGAGGTTCTGGGCATGGGAGCCTCGGGAATTTGGGAACCATGGGGGTAAGAGGAAAGGCATGGTGGAGAACAGAGCAAAATTCTGTGGTATGGACTAGTAACAAGAGACAGGACCTTGCTGGAGGTAATTCATAGGGAGAGGCCAATTAGTAGAGAGGGGGTAGGGTATGTAATCTTGTACCTTTTTGGAGGGAAACTGGGACTAATATAGAGAATTTGAAAGGAGATTGGGAAAGGGCAAGCAATGGAAGTGAGGTCTAATCTCAATCCCTGGGGTCAGATCCTACCAGAGGAGGTCCAGGATGTGCCTGCTGTGAGTGCTTTCATTTGCTGTGTATCTGTGTGCGGTGTACATTTCCGTGTGCTGTGTCTGTGTGGTTGTTACCATTTGTCTGGGGCTTGGCTGCTCCATCGCTTACAACTTTTCTCTGTTTTCCTCCCTCCCGCTTACGGGCTGCTCTGTTCCCAACAGTCTTTCATAGGATTTTTGCTAATGGTGAGAGCTTCCTCTGCCCCACTTGGGCTCTGTTTGTGCTCCTGCTCCCTTTGCGGCTGCCCAGTGCATGCAGTCGTGGGAGCAAGGCCTGTTCCCCTACGTCCTGGCTTAATTATACCTGCTTAGCTTCTGCCCTGCCAGCCCTCCACTTGCTTGCCCCTCCATAACCTGCTTGTTTCCTGTGGATTCTGCCTGGCTGGCCACTTAACCTTTTAGATTCATATTCCCCCTCATCATCAGGCTGGCTCCCTAAATCATACTGTGCTCCCATATTCTGTGCCTTGTCATTGTTTATGATCAGAGTGAGTCCAAATTAGGCCTGGTACATTGTCCAGCCCCATAGCAGGCAGCATTGAAGAGTAAGAGAGCAGGGATCTGAAAAGTTTTGGTGGGTTAAAGACAAAGCCAATTCAAGGGTATTGGTTCAGTTCTGAACTTTTCTTGAGTTTTAGTTAGCAAAGTTGTATAAGAAGAAGACTAACTCCTTGGTTCTATTCTAATGCTTCTTTACCTTTTCTATCCAAGTTCTTGAAGACTCCTAATTGTCCCAGATTAGGAAAGGCAGCCTGTGTTTTTATGTTAATTTCATAGGTGAATGAAATAAATGTTGGCATTTTTTTTGTGGGACTTGGGGAAGATGACCAAGTCACAAGTTTTTCCTTTGACCATGTTGTTCCTTGACTAGCTAAAGCTCCCACTGTGTTTGGGTAGTGCAAAGTTTTTTTTTTTAAGTTAGGAGTCTTAGATGAGAAGCAGTAGGCCTGAGAAAGGAGGAGATGATGTCCAGGTGTGGTCTGTGTTCGGATGGTTTCTGATTGTTGGAAGAATGGAGACTTAAGGAGAAATTTGGCTCTGGGGGCCTCTTACTGGAGTAAGACTATGCTTTGTTGGTGGTGGTCAGATTGTGGGTATCTCCCCTACTCCCAGTGGCTCCTGACACTATCAACAATCATGTGAAGACTTGCCGGGAAGAGCAGAAGAATCTACACTTCTTTGCACCAGAGTATGGAGGTAAGGAAGGCATCTTCTGTGTCCTATCTTTTATGCCCTAGTTTTGTACCTCATAGTCTGAGGTGTAGGCAATGCAACTGTACTAGCACATCTTTGTTTTTTTCTAAAGGCATGTCTGGCATTCCTTACCCTCAACCTCTGCTTTACCAAGCCCTCTTTGTTTTCCCTAGAAGTTACCAATGTGACGACAGCAGTGGACATCTACTCCTTTGGCATGTGTGCATTGGAGGTGAGGAGAATGGGGGAAGGAGTAAAATTGGAAGATGGAAAGAGGACATGGAGGGAGGCTGAGGAAAGTGCTGGTCTTGAGGTAGTGACTGCAAGAAGGCTGAGGTTCTTAGGCCTTCTTTCTTTGTATTCCTTTTCCCTGTAGATGGCAGTGCTGGAGATTCAGGGCAATGGAGAGTCATCTTATGTGTCACAGGAAGCCATCAGCAGTGCCATCCAGCTACTAGAAGACTCATTACAGAGGGTAAGGGTCTTGAGGACTGCTCCTTTTTTTTTTGGTCCACTGTGGGGCTTGAACTCTGGGCTTGGGCGCTGTCCCTCAGCTCTTCAGCTCAAGGTGAGCGCTCTACCACTTGAGCCACAGTGCCACTTCTGGTTTTCTAGTGGTTTATTGGAGATAAGAGTCTCTCGGACTTTCCTGCCCGGGCTGGCTTTGAACCGCCATCCTCAGATCTCATGCCGGTAGCTAGGATTACAGGCATAAGCTACCTGCACTCAGCCTTGACTGCTCCTTCTTAACTGACTTTCAAATGCTACCTTCTTTTTCTTTTTTTTTCTTCTTCCCCTGGTTGTAGAGCCTGAACCGCAGGCCTGGGCGCTGTCCCTCAGCTCTTCAGCTCAAGGCTAGCTCTCTACCATTAGAGCCACAGTGCCACTTCTGGCTCTTTCTGCTTATGTGGTGCTGAGGAATCGAACCCAGGGCCTCATGCATGTGAGGCAAGCACTCTACCACTGAGCCAGCTTTGCAACCTGCTACCTTCTTTTTTGTTGCTGTTGGTACTAAGGTTTCAATTCAGGATCTTGTGCTTGCTCTATTCAGTTATATACTGCCTCCTTTTTTCTTTTCTTTTTTTTTTTTTTGCCAGTCCTAGGGCTTGAACTTGGGGCTTGGGCACTGTCCCTGCGCTCTTCAGCTCAAGGCGAGCACTGTACCACTTGAGCCACAGTACCACTTCCGGTAGCTAGGATTATAGGCATGAGCCACCAGCACATGGCTCCCTGAGTTTCTTTTGATCAAGGCTATCATTCTACTACTTGAGCCATGAACGTCACTTCTGGCTTTTTCTGTTTATGTAGTACTGAGGAATCAAATTCAGGCCTTCATGTAGCATATATGGCCTCTTTAACCAAACCTTAACAGGGTATATTAAGACCAAGAGAACATTCTTTGTTAAATGGCAACTCATTTGTACAGCTACTTAAAGATAATTTAAACAAATAATTCTGATTCCCCTCGCCTCCCCCCACCAAAAAAAAAAAAAGGAAATAGAACATAAAGCAGAGAAAAAGCCAAAGCTGTAAAATTTCTCTTGGAGGTGCCTAACATGCTTCTGTATATGTACATACAGGTCTAGGGGGGATACAGTGGTGGGTAATACTGAGGTTAACAGTTGTATGCTAATTGAAGTGTATCAACATGGAGGTTAACTCAATTGATGGTAACTGCAGGCAATTGCTATATGTTCTTAGACAACCATCTTGACATTTTAAAGCAAATCTATTTATTTTTGCCAGTACTTAGGCTTGAATTCCTGGTGCTCTACCATTCGATCCTCTACTTCTGATTTTTGGTAGTTAATTAGAGATAAGAATCTCAGATTTGTGTTTCTAGGCTGGCTTTGAACTAGGATCCTCAAATTTTAGCTTTCTGAGTAGCTAGGATTATAAAAATGAGACATCAATGCTTGGCAGCATATCAATTTAAATTAGTTACATTAGTCATTTGGTATTTCTTTTTCTTTTTGGTTGGTCATGGGGCTTGAGCTGGGCCTGAGTGCTATCCTTGAGCTAAATGTAGCTATTTAGCTCAAGGCAAGCACTCTACCACTTGAGCCACAGCACCACTTCTGGTTTTCTGGTGGTTAATTGGGGGTGAGAGTCTCACAGACTTTCCTGCCTGGGCTGGCTTTGAACCATGATCCTCAGATCTCAGCCTCTTGAGTAGCTAGGGGATTACAGGCGTGAGCCACTGGTGCCTGGCTCATTTGGTATTTCTATTAGTTTTTTTTTTTCTTCCTCTCCGTTGTAGGGCTTGAACTCTGGGTCTGAGCACTGTCCCTCAGCTCTTCAGCTCAAGGCAAGCGCTCTTAACGGTTGAGCCACATCAGCACTTCCAGTTTTCTAGTGGTTTATTGGAGATAAAAGTCTCATGGAATTTCCTGCCCGGGCTAGCTTTGAACCGTAGCTAGGAATATAGGTGTGAGCCATTGGTGCCCGGCTCTATTAGTTTTAAGTAAAGAAGGTTCCTTGAAATAATGATTTCAGATTGAAAAGATTTAAGCATTAAAGCAGGTAGGCTATCGTAAGAAGAGGCTAGACTTGAAAGGTCCAAATAAAAATAATTTATGGGGCTGGGAAGGTAGCTCAGTAGTAGAGTGCTTGCCTTGCATGCGTTCGATTCTTCAGTACCATATAAGCAGAAAAAGCCCGAAGTGGCACTGTCTCAAGTGGTAGAGTGCTAGCCTTGAGCTGGAGAGCTGAGGGACAGTGCCCAGGCCCAGAGTTCAGGCCCTATGCTGGACAAAAAATAAATAGTAATTCATTAGGGAAGGGTTATGAATAACAGAAGAGAAAGAAGAAAAACTATTGGAAGATTTGAGGATAGAGTGGAGTGAGACATTTGATTGGGATATTCAAATGTAAGATTAGATATGTAACCTTGTTGATCTCCAAGCCTTTTTCTTTCAAGTGAGAAAGCAGGTTGTCATGGAACATATGTGAAGTAGAAAAGGAGGAAAAATGGTTAGAGAAAGCATGGGAAATTCAGTCACTGGAGTGGACAAAGTAAATTTTAATAGACTGAAGAAGAGCCAGGTGCTGGTAGCTCACTCCTATAATCCTAGCTACTCAGGAGGCTGAGATGTGAGGATTTGCAGTTCAAAGACAGCCCTGGCAGAAAAACATGTGAGACCAGAAAACTGGAAGTGGCGCTGTGGCTCAAGTGGTGGAGCTCTTGCCCTGAGCTGAAGAGCACAGGGACAGTGCCCAGGCCTAGAGTTCAAGAAAGACTGAAGAAAGGTTGACAGTGAGTGGGCTAATAAAACAGAAAAGGAGGCCAGTTGCTGGTGCCTCATGCTCATAATCCCACCTGTTGAGGAGTCAGAGACCTGAGAATCAATGTTTGAAGTCAGTTTGGGCAGACAAATCCTCAAGCCTTTTTTTTTTTTAATAGTAACTTTTATTCATAATGACCACAAACTGGAAACAATCCAAATTTCCATCAACATTAGAATGGACAAACTATGGTACAGTAATACAATGGAATATGACACAGAGTCAAAAAATGAACTGCTGCTACAATATGAATTACTCTTGTAGACATATACTCAAGACTCTTATTTCCAATTAGTCATCATCAAAATAACAAGTGGTAGAGCACAAGCCATAAGTAAAAGAACTGAATTCGAGGCCCAGAGCTGGAAGCCAGGGGGTAAGCCTCAGTTCTGGCACAAAAAAAATAGAGAGGAAAAGGGCAAGGGTTAATAAAGAGCAGTGCAATATAGATGGAGTAAATTTGATCAGAGTACATTTATTATATGCTGTTGTAAATATCACAATGAAGCCTCATTGTACAATTAATTTATACTGATAAAAAGTGAACGTGTATTTGACACTGTTGATGTAGATGCCAGGCTTGTTAGGGCTGCCACATGGGACATGGCCCCAGGAGGTGATGCCGTGCAGCACCCCATTGCAGACTAGCAGGCCCTCCAAGTCTCCCACACAGGTGTCTTTGCCACCCTCCAAGTGCCCTGCACACTGGGAAGGTGGCTCAGTGGTAGAGCGCTTGCCTTGTATGCATGAGGACCTGGGTTCGATCCCTCAGCACCACATAAGCAGGAAAAGCCAGAAGTAGCACTGTGGCTCAAGTGGTAGAGCGCTAGCCTTGAGCTGAAGAGCTGAGGGACAGAGCCCAGGCCCAGAGTTCAGCCCCCACAACCGACAAAACAACAACAACAAAAAGTGGGACAAGGTGATTCACTCCTCTAATCCTAGGTAATTGGGAGGCTGAGGGGAAGGAGTAGGGAGAGGAATTGCCCAGGCCACCCTGGGCAAAAAGTTCCTGAGTACTTGTCAACCAATGCTTGGTGGTGCATACCTGCTATCCCAGTAGGAAATGTAAAGTAGCAAGATTGTAGTGTAGGCATAGGCACAGGTGCGGCCTGGGCAAAAAGTAAGATCCTAGAAAATCAGCAGTTTCAAAAAGGACTGGAGGCTTGGCTTAGCGGTAGAACACTGAATAATAAGCCTGAGTCTGTGAGTTCAAACCACAGTACCAGAAAGAACAACAAACAAAAGAGAAAGGCTGTGGTTAGAAAATAAAATATTAAAGTTAAGTAACAAATACCAATTTTTAAATCCCGGTATATTTCCTCAGCAACTGCTGAGTTCCTAGTGTACAAATCTTTGTGCTAGTGATGAAATGAGCACAGTGTAGGGTTTCTAGATATCTGCTCTAGTTTATTGTTCTCTTCTAGGAGTTCATTCAGAAGTGCCTGCAGCCTGAGCCTGCTCAAAGACCAACAGCCAGAGAACTTCTCTTCCACCCAGCACTGTTTGAAGTACCCTCACTCAAACTCCTTGCTGCCCACTGCATTGTGGGGCACCAACGTGAGTCTCCTTTACCATTTTAGGGATTTTTTTTCCAACCAAGGGCCTTCTAAATATCACTAGTGAATGTGTTTTCTATTTCCAAAAGGATATTCTGTCACTCCTTATCTCTGAATGTAATATGCTATCCCATTCTGTCCCCAGACATGATTCCAGAGAATGCTTTGGAGGAGATCACCAAAAACATGGACACCAGTGCTGTGCTGGCAGAAATCCCTGCAGGACCAGGAAGAGAGCCAATTCAGACTTTGTGAGTAACTGAGTGAGAGGGTCTGAAAAAGAAAAAGTGTTCACTAACCACCTTGAGGCTTTATAAATTCTTATGCCTTGGGAAAGGTTAAATCTGCCATTTGCTTGTTCCCTTACCTTCCATTATCTTTCTTTTCTAGGTACTCTCAGTCACCAGCTTTGGAATTAGACAAATTCCTGGAAGATGTCAGGTGAGGGAAGGATGAGAAAGGCAGACTTGCTGGGAGGAGGCAGGGGCAGTTGTCCTGAGTCATTTGCAAGCCCATATGACCTGTTTTCACCTCCCTCCAGGAATGGAATCTACCCTCTGACAGCCTTTGGGCTGCCTCGGCCTCAGCAACCACAGCAGGAGGAGGTGACATCACCTGTTGTGCCCCCTTCTGTCAAGACTCCAACACCTGAGCCAGCTGAGGTGGAGACTCGCAAGGTGGGACTGCGTGGGTGTGTCCACATTCATAGGAGGGGGGGATAGGAGGATTTTTGTACTGTACAGAATGCATTTCTAGCACCTGGCACCATGCCTTATAGGCTAAAAAGACTTCCAGGGGTTGGTCATTTTTACTGACTGGTTTGTACGCTAGTTAGTGACTCTCTCTGCTCTGTCCTAGGTGGTGCTGATGCAGTGCAACATTGAGTCAGTGGAGGAGGGAGTCAAACACCATGTAAGGCTCTGGGCCAGGGCTGCACCGTCTGGTGCTCAGAGAATGGGGAAGGGTATCCTCATTTTCCTGTCCTCTTTTCTAGCTGACGCTTCTGCTAAAGCTGGAGGACAAACTGAACCGGCACTTGAGCTGTGACCTGATGCCAAGTAAGTCTCTCCTTTCCCTTAGAGGATCTGTGAACCTTACCTTCTAGGGACACAAGATTGGGGACAGTGACAAGTAACACACTGACTCCCATGTAGTGACTATCTCCCCCTCAGATGGGTGGCTGGGACGATTCGAAGGGCTGTCTCTTCTCTCACTCTGAACTTACCTCTCTTCTGTTTCTGTGTCAGATGAGAACATACCGGAGTTGGCAGCCGAGCTGGTGCAGCTGGGTTTCATTAGTGAGGTGGGTTCCTGCTATCCTGCGCCTGGATGGCCCCCTGCCTTCTCTTCCCTCAACCCCATCTCACTGAGCTTCTCTCTTCAGGCTGACCAGAGCCGGCTGACCTCCCTGCTTGAGGAGACCCTGAACAAGTTCAATTTTGCCAGGAACAGCACTCTCAACTCAGCCGCTGTCACCGTCTCCTCTTAGAGCTCACTCGGGCCAGGCCCCCATCTGCACTGTGGCTGTCCCTGGACGTGCTGCAGCCCTCCTGTCCCCCCCTCCCCCCAGTCAGTATTACCCTGTGAAGCCCCTTCTCTCCTTTATTAATCAGGAGGGCTCTGGGGCTCCCTGGTTTTGAGCATCATCCTCTCCCTTCCCCTCTCTTCCTCCCCTCTGCACTTTGTTTACTTGTTTTGCACAGACGTGGGCCTGGGCCTTCTCAGCAGCCGCCTTGTAGCTGGTTGCTAGTAGCTGACCTGCCGGCTCCCGCCCAGCCTGTGTGCACAGGAGGCCCTCGGGCACTGGGGAGCTGTTCTACGATCCCGCTGGGGTGGACGGGCGGGAGAGAGGTGGTGCTGCAGTGGTGGCCCTGGGGGGGGCCATTCGATTCGCCTCAGTTGCTGCTGTAATAAATTCTACTTTTTGCTAAACTGGTTGTGTGCTTGCGCCTTTCCGCATTGGTGCCCACAGGTGTTGCAGCCAGCCCAGGCCCGCGGGGCGGAGCCCCAGGTGGCTGGCGGGAGGGCGGGGCGCAGGTGGAGCGGGCTGCGGCTGGCCGCTGGCCGCCGGGCGGTGGTAGGCGTAGTTGTAGCGGAAGCCGCGCCGGGCGGAGCCCCAGGCGGATGGCGGGGCGGGGCCGAGCTCCAAGGCTGGGGGCGGAGCCGGCCCAGGTAGAGCTGCCCGGCGGTGCCAGCCAGGAGCCGCGCGGCCAGGCCCGCGGGATGAGGTGCTGCCGCCTCTGCGTCTTTGGTAACTTCCGCCACCTTGCTCTAGGTCCCTGACCCCCCTCAGCCCGGCCAAACGCCGCAATTGGCCCTGTCCGCGGCCGCTCGCCCTCGGGTCAGCCGCCCCGGCTCAGGTCCGCCCTTCCCCCTACGTTACAGACGCCGCCCGAGGGCCTCGGCGGCTCATGCGCGTGGGCCTCGCGCTGATCCTGGTGGGCCATGTGAACCTCCTGCTGGGAGCTGTGCTGCACGGTACAGTCCTGCGGCACGTGGCCAATCCCCGTGGCGCCATCACGCCGGAGTACACCGCTGCCAATGTCATCTCCGTGGGCTCAGGGCTGCTGGTGAGAGACTGCGGGCTGGCTGGGGGGCGGAGCTGCCAAGAGCCAGCGGGCCAAAGGTGTGGTGTCTTCCGCAGAGCGTTTCCCTTGGTCTTGTGGCCCTTCTGGCATCCAGGAACCTTCTTCTCCCAGGACTGGTGAGAGGGGCAAGGGGAGCGGGAGCTTCAAATAGAGAACGTGAGGTGTCTTGTCACTACGAAACTAAGCCAGGCCCAGGCTGCTCATTCACCCTGGTCCTCTGCCCTGCCAGCACTGGGCCCTGTTGGTACTGGCTTTGATGAACCTCCTCCTGTCCGCTGCCTGCTCCATGGGCCTCCTCCTAGCTGTGTCACTCACTGTGGCCAATGGTGGCCGCCGTCTTATTGCTGACTGCCATCCAGGACTGCTGGATCCTTCCATACCGCTGGATCAGGGATCTGGGCACACCAACTGCTTCTTTGACCCCACAAGAATCTATGTGAGCATATTCCTTCTGGCTGTCCACAAAACTGTGACCCTGCTCTTTTAACTTCCTCTGTTTGCTCCTAGCCCAATCCTTCCCTTTACTTTTAGGATACAGCCTTGGCTCTCTGGATCCCTTCTCTGTTCATGTCTGCAGCAGAGGCTGCTCTGTCTGGTTACTGCTGTGTGGCTGCACTCACCCTTCGTGGTGTTGGGCCCTGCAGGAAGGAAGGGTTTCAGGAACAGGTAAGGAAGAGAAACAGGAAGGGTTCAATCCCACAGACTGTTAAAAAGGAGCTGATATATCATTGGACATCAGGGAACTGATTGCACCTTTTTCTGCAGCTGGAGGAACTGACAGAACTTGAATCTCCTAAATGTAAAAGGCAGGAAAATGTGCAACTCTTGGATCAATATCAAGAACTCCAGGCATCAGAGAAAACCTGGGTGTAGGACAGGTAAAGGGCCCTGAGGATGGGGCCCGGGGAAGTGTTTTTGCAATGCAGCTAAGTCTTTGCTATGCTGCTTTGCCTTCTGACCTGGTTGGTTCTTCCTTTATCAGGCAGGTGCCAATCTGAGGCCCAGTCCACATGTATTTTCCACTAAACAAGGAGCTCTTGAGCCCAGGATGATATAAATAACTGTAATAAAAAAACTTATCTTTTCTTCTACTCGGTTATGATTTCTTTGAAGGAAAGGGTACGTTGCTGTTTCCAACACACAGTGATCAGAAGACCATGATCAAAGAATATAGTGGTCTCAATTACTTACTCAATTACTTTTAATGAAAGAGGCCCAGACTCTTCCTCACTGAAAGGAAAAGCTAGTGCTGGGGAGCCCTCCACACCACTGACTGATGAATTTCAGCACATCCTGGCATACTGGGCTGTGGGAGGTCTGTGAACAAAGGGGAGAAACAGGAGAGGAGCTCATTAAAGTTGGTGTGGAGGCACCAGCTCCATTTTGGTGCAGGGGGAGCAGGTTAGCATCTGCATCTGCCTTCTGGACCATCTCTCCCAACATTCTGGTGAGACTCCGCTCATACCCCTCCCCTCTAGAGCTGCGCTCTCTGCCCTCATCAAGTCACTGTCTCTAACCTTGATGGCCATAAGAAACTTATTCCAGTTGTCCTTGTTAGCAGCCTTCCCTGGCCGCTTAAATTCAATTTTATTCCTCAGGATGGGGTAACCTGTGGAAAAAGAAAAGAAAAAAGGTAAATTAGAATTTGGAAGAAACTGAGGAGGGAAGTGAAGAGCAGGCAGAGTGAGATGATTCTGTCTTGTTCACTTGTTATTAAAGTAAAATAAAGTGTTTTTTTGTTGTTTGCTTTTTGTTTTGCCAGACCTAAGGCTTGAACTTAGCCTGGCTGGCGCTGGCCCTCAGCTCTTTTGCTCAAGGCTAGCTTGATCCACAGCTCCAGTTCTGGCTTTTGGTTAATTAGAGATAAGAGTCTCTCAGGCTTTCTGCCTGAGCCTGGCTAATATCTGTGAATCAGATCCTCTGTGTAGTAGGATTACAGGCACGAGTCAGTGGTGCCTAGCCTGTTGTCTTTCATGAGGCAGAGCTTCACTGCATAGTCTAGGCTGACCTCAAACTTATGATCCTCTGCTTTAGCCTCCCAAGTTTCAGGATTACTAGCTGCTGAAACAGTTTTTGGATCCTGCTGCTTTCCCTTCTATCCACCTGTGGGGTGCTGTGGGGCTCTGGTACCTGTAATGAGGCAGGGCAGTGCCCGGACGCCAGTGCTCGCTGCCACTAGGGAAGCCTCATAAGCCCCACGTTCATCCCGAGGTAGAACTTGCTCCAGACGCTGGTCCATTGACACCGTGAGCACCCAGTCTCGAACCTCTTCTCTCTGGGCCTCCTGAGAAAGATAGAGGGAGCAACAGCTTCAAGCAGGGCAGCAGAAGGCAGCAGGATTGCTAAGCCTTCATTCTAGAATACAGCTTTCAGACATAAATGATCCTCCTTAGGCTGAGGAATACAATCACCAACCTCTGTTTTTCCTGAGGGAATAGTGAGGACTGAGGTCATTGTAAAGATGGTAGCCCAAGCCATCCTTCCTTCTCAACAGGCTCCCACAGGGGAGGGCTTCTTATTCCTTACCGGTATGTGCTGCTTAGCTGGGAGTGGCACCTCAAAGGGAATGTCTGTATCCTGAAAATCTGAGTGGTCAAGGGCATCCAGAGTCCCTTCTTCAATTGCCTGTGGCAGAATGGACAACAGTGAGACAGGCATGGCTTGTAACAAGCAAACTCCCAGCCTCTGGGCCCAGCTTCCCAACTCACATCAGTCAAGTCCAAAAAGCGGTTGAGGAAGATGAAGGCCATGTTCTCCCAGCCAACTGCCTACAGCAGAGCAAAGGTACAGGTGAGCAAACTGAGCTTGGATGCAGAGAGACTATTCCAGGCTTATGTCCTCTAACATCAGCTCCAAACTCAACTTTGCTCTTGAGATTTCTTCATCTTCCCATTTGTGATCCCTTATCTCTTTAGCCCCACCCTGCCTTGTTCCAGCTCACCTTGGCAGCAGTGCCTGCTTCATAGAAGGCCTTGTCTGCAGGTAGTAGTTGGGTGTGGCGCAAGAGTGAGATAGAAAGCCTGGCAGCCACAGTTTGCTGTGGATCAAAGGCAAAGATTTATGATTCTCGTACTATAGTGACTGAGCTACCACACTAATGGTTCTGTAACTAAGCGACAGAACTAGAAAACCAATACTAAGGCTGGGAAGGTGGCTCAGTGGTAGAGTGCTTGCCTCGCATGCATAAGGGCCTGGGTTTGATTCCTCAGCACCACATAAACAGAAAAAGCTGGAAGTGGCACTGTGGCTCAAGTGGTAGAGTGCTAGCCTTGAGCCACAGAAGCTCAGGACAATGCCCAGGCCCAGAGTTCAAGCCCCATGACCGACAAAAAACAAAAAACCACCCAATACTAAACTGCTCTGGATCTTAGGCTGTTCTAGATCTTAGTTTTGATCATCAGCACAATATACCTAGAACTAGATAATTTATAAGGTTCTTTCTACTTCTAGAATTCTTACTATGCAAGTACATAAAATGAGTACACAGTTAATTATCTCAAGTCACAAGCATGTGTACATTATAGGAGGTTAATAAGAAATCATTGAGCCAGGCACCAGTTACTCCTGTAATCCTAGCTACTGAGGAGGCTGAGATCTGAGGATCACAGTTCAAAGCCAGCCCAGGCAGAAAAATCCATGAGACTCTTATCTCCAATTAACCACTAGAAAAACGGAAGTGATGCTGTGGCTCAAGCAGTAGGGTGCTTGCCTTGAGCTGAAGAGCACAGGGATGGTGCCCAAGCCCAGAGTTCAAGCCCCATGACCAACAAAAAAAAAAAAAAAGAAAAATCATGGGACTTAAATGTTTAAATATCACAAGGCTGGGCTATATAGTTCAATGACAAAGTGCCTGCCTGGTATATAGGATCCTATGTCCAGTTCTCAGCACTGCCAAAAATAAATAGAAAAGAATGTGAGGCTGGAGCTGAATGGCCACAGAGCTCTTAAGATGGTGAAAACAGTAGAGGAAGCCAATCCATTGCTGGGCAATGTTGGTTCACAAATGTAATCCTATTCAAGAGGATCACAGCCCAGACAGCCCAGACAGGAAAGTCCTTGAGACTCTTATCTCCAATTAACCAGCAAAAATACAGAAATGACTCAAGTGAGAGAGTGCTGGTCTTGAGCAAAAAAGCTAAGGGACAATGTCCAGGCCATGCATTCAAGCCCCAGTACTGCACAAAAACAAAATGATCAACAAAAAGCCAGGATGAAAGAATGACTCAAGTGATAGAGTGCCAATTAATCAAGCCAAGTAAGTACATGGCCTTGAATTCCAACACCTCCCTCCCCCTCCAAAAAGAATCCATCTAAACAAGAATTAAAGACTGATTTAGATGGAGGAGAAGCTGAAAGAGAAGTATGGAGGTCCAAGAGCCTAAGCTTGAGAATCTGAAACTTGGATCCATTCAACTTCATAGGTGTGAAGATGATTACTTATGATGGTGTTCTCTGCATCTCATTTCCCCTGCGCTATATCTCACCAGCTGATGGATGCTCTGGGCTGCAGAGCGTGTGGCATAGTAATGAGCAATCAGCAGCATTGTCTCAAACTCTTCATGGGCTACAGAGTTGGCTTCACTGGATTTTACCAGGTTTTCACACTAGAGAAAGAAGAAAACACAGCCTGGCTCAAGGGTGGTTACTGATGGCTGCCTGAACAGAGGAAGGTCGAATACATTTGAGGGTAAATATTTATGTGCATGAAAGAAGAGACTGGGGCAGGGAAAGAAGTCTTTTTAAGCTGCTGTTGACTCAACTTCCTCACCAAGTTGAAGAGAACATCTCGAAGATCAGCCCAGCTATGGTAGGCCTCGGCATTGTTGGTCCCAGGAGAGCTGACCATGTCAGTGAAGATCCTTTTATAAATGTTGAAGTTCTATGGGTACAGGGAGAAGAGGATCTGAGTGAGAAGCTCAACCAGAAGAGAAAGAGAAGAAAGAAACAGGTTGTGTATATGTGTGTATATATGTGTGTGCAGAAGATGGGGCAGTAATGGAGACAAAGTGCTAATTAATCTTAGAGAAGGGGAGGAAAGAAGAGGAACTTTATTTTATTTTATTTTATTTTTGTCGGTTGTGGGGCTTGAACTCTGGGCCTGGATGCTGTGCCTCAGCTCTTCAGCTCAAGCCAAACGCTCTACCACTTGAGCCATAGTGCCACTTCTGGTTTTCTGAGTGGTTTATTGGAGATAAGAGTTTCATGGACTTTCCTGCCTGGGATGGCTTTGAACTGCGATCCTCAGATCTCAGCCTCCTGAGGAACTAGGATTACAGGTGTGAGCCACTGGTGCCCGGCTATGAGGAACTCTTATTATCAGCTGGTGTGAGTGTGGGCAATATACAACTGTGAATACAGTGTTAATGGGGTAATATGCAGAGTGTTATGATTTTCCAATAGGAGAGCAGTGTTTATTTTCTGGAAAAAAATAGTAAGGGCACTCAGAGGTGTGCAGACTTTCTCCTGGAAAGTTAGGTCCCTGTGTATCAGCTAAGTAGCCACAGCATTTCTGGAAAGGCTGGGTGGGATGCTGGGCATGATGTTCTAAGGATAGAATCCTTTGCCAAAATAGTCCTTCAAGGGATAGTGGCTCTAGAAGAGGCAGGAGGGTGGAAACATTCACCCTCAAGGAGAAGGTCTGTACCTGTGGATTGGCAGGGGCTCCATGCTGCACATAGAGGGCCAGTGCCTGGGCATAGCCACCTTCCCGGATCAGATGAGTCGCATACAAAGCCACATACTTGTGCAGAATCTTGTAATTCTGTTTCAGAGGTGGAGGAAAAGTGGGGGAGAATTTGCGATCAGTAAAACTAGGCAGTGAGGGTAGGGTAGTGAGTCCAGGCATTTGTTGAGGAGGCAATGGATATGTACAGTGCTGGTACAAATTTCAGAGCACAGACTGCATTCTCTGACAGAGTAGGGATTACTGGGAATTGGGCTTTGGTTAGGTTTAAGAGAGGCATATCTGAAGACAGGGAGTAGAAAGGAGAGAGAAGTACCTGCTTGGTAGCTGTTTCAATGCACTTGTCCCACTGACCCTGCTCCACATACAGGTCCAAAGCAGCTACCACATCCACACCCACCAACTGTG